TTTTTTATCCATTAAGTTTAATTTTTCTTTCTTCGTAATATAGCTCATCAAAACTCACATTTTCCATTAAAAAACAATTGAATATCAGATTCCAATGTGTATTTTTTTCATAATGTTTCTCCTAATCCAAATAATTGTAGTTTTTGTCTATCTGCTATTAATATTTTATAAATTCATACTGAAATTTCTTAGTTCACTTTTGAAAAGACATAAAAATGTCTTTTCTACAATTTTTTTTCTATATGTATAGACATATTGAATTCGTCATATTTTTGTAATAACGCAAAAGTTATATGTAAAGTATGTACAACGAAACAGAGAAGATTTTGACAAACGACTTTACCTGTGTATTAAAATGGCAGGCGTCAACTGTCACTGGTATCATCTGGCAGATCTCTATAGTACCGTATGATCGAAAAAAAAAGTTGGCGGCGTCCAGTTGGCTGGGAAATGACAGCGACCTTCATTTCATAGTTATCGCTGACGCCGCTTTTTTTTCGATCATATACGGTATATGGAAAACAAACTTGATCATTTTATCTATCCGATTATTTTTACTTGCATATTATACGTCTGTCAGTGTATATCTGTCTAAAAGTAGAAATAAATTAATAAACAAAACTTTTTTTTAAATCAAAATACCAAGTGGGGATTTCCAAAGTATCTAATTTTTCAATTAAGTCCATTTACGTCTAAATAACAAAATGTGCTTTTCAAATTAACAACAGTATTATAGTCTCCTTATTGTTTTAAAGTAAATTTATATTTTTTATGTAAATATTTGAGCATAAAAATAATATTCAAGACAATAAAACTAAAAAACAATCGAGTTCTTCATACATTACTTAGAAAAAAATGCTAAATAAGTATGTGACATTGCATGAAAATTAACCATGTTTTTATCAATATATTATTACTTACGCGTTTATAAACTTCTCCAAGTACTGAAAGATCTAAAAGTTTTATAATTCAAGTTTCTGCTGATCAAGCAATTTTTGACAAGACTATTATTCAAATTTCTCATTAGAATTAGTGCACCAAGTAGTAGAATTAGTTATGAGCAAGACCAAAACTAAAACTCACTAGCTCTTGGTCTTACAGTCTAATAGAAGTCTTGGTTTTGGTCTTGGTCTTGCTGCAAGACTCTTGCAAGTCTTTTTTTTTTCTCTTTTTTCTAACCTAACCAAACTATAAACATCGATATTTGGATAAAATTGTTAAATAGCTGTTTCTTACATGATAAATTCGATTTCGATGTTAATATGACTCCCACTTGTAGGAGCACCACGTACAAGTTTTAACTGTTTTGAAGAGTAATAAATTTTCATCTGTACCTGTATTACGCTGTTGCTTTTTTAATCTTGGTTTCACTGTCGGTTAAGACAAAATCGAAAACACCCATTTTACCCCTGAGGGTGTCTGGGAAGTTTGGTCGGTTAAGACAAACAATCTAAATCTATGAAAAAAATCATCAGTGCTGAAAAAAAAAATTATCTTTTCTTCTGCAAATGGCATTCTTGACATTTCAAAAACGGTTAAACTTAGGTAGAGAACATTATTACAGGATGTTTTTTTTATAATCTTATTTAGAATACAAAAATCAAAAAATATATAGGGTTTCTATTTTTCTATGATTCTACTCTTTGATACTTTTTTGCGGTAAACCAAAAGCATGTACTATGCCAAATGCCAAAAGTGTGTAAAGCGAAAACATAATTGTTGCACAAAATATCAGTTGATTGCTTTTTGTTCAATAAATTACAATTTTTTTTTCTTCAAAATATGGTTCAATCAAAACTCGCATTTTCTATTTATAAACAATAATTATTGATTAATGTGTAATATTTTATTACATAAATTATTTTATAAAGATCATACCAAATAAACTTTTAGTCACGTGATTAAGCTTGACCGGCACAGCATTGCCCACTTTTACATATTTTTTTTTAATCAAAATATTATAGGAAACAAAAGTAAATTAATTATAAATATATAAACAGTTATTATTTGAAGGGTCTAGGGGAAAAACATGATAAGCGCCATTTCACTGATTTTACAGGAGAGGACTGGACGGCTGGTAGTTATCAGTTTCTTGCCATTTATTCTATTTATTTCTACCAGGCATATATCACAGGATTTAACACTTCATTGCCCTGAGGAGTTAATACATTTTGAGGCCAGTTAGACCTACTAATATAATATTGCAAAATCCTAAAATTAAGAAATTGGCGCTTATCAAGATTTCCCCTGGACCCTTCATTTACATCAACAAAAGTCACCTCCTTAACAGCACTTAAGGGACATAAAGGACCATTACTACGACATTCCCGCTCAAAATATTCTAATAACGTTGTAATGATTTTTTTGTAACGGCTATTAAGCTATCGTGTACAATTTGCACTAAAAGAGGTTCTAAAAAGAACAATGTTCAACTGCAAAGTCTGCTAGTAAAAATGTTTAAGCTTAAAGTATCACAACACAATTCATTTAAACCAAAAACTCTTAATACAAAACTAAGTGTCAAAACGAATGACAATGACATTTTTTTCAGCAGAGCTACTACCTGAATCCCCAGCGGGAAATTTAAGTTCTAGTTAGTCAGCCCGGTGCCAAATATGTTCATGGTTGGCAACAATGGATTTAAAAATCGCGCGCTCCATTACGCATCTACAAGATTAATTGGTACGGCTTATACCTTTTGCTTTATGCAATAAACAAATTAACAGCAACTTTCAGTTAAACCGAAAGTACCAGCAAATGGAAAATCTTTTAAAATAAATAGCACCTGGAAATGATCTTAACATGCAAAAGATTCAAAACATTCAAATTTGTAACGTACTAGATTGTACCCTAAGCAGTTGCGTGAAAAACCCTATATTATAAACCTATAAATTAAATATGTTTTACCAAAAAAGTTTCAAATTTATAACATAATTAAGTGCATTCAATTTCATTGTCACCCGGTATACAACTGCATATTTGTTATACAGGATGGTTCAAACTGTATTCCGGAAACTTCGGCAGCATATTCTGCAGATAAAAATTAGTAAAAAAGTTCATATAAATGTATGTACTAAAATACTTTCATAAAAAGTTTCATTTTTATTTAGATTTTTCCCAAATAATTTCTGAAGTAACGTCAACATCTGGATGAAAAATGGTTTCTGCGATTTTTTTGACAAGAGAAATTTTATTTTGATCTCAATCTTTGAATAAGAAGACTAAGGAAGGAGCATATCAAAAATCTTAGGTACACCGCGATGGGCCTCAAATATGGCCGACTTAAATTCCGGTTTATCAGTGTCGTTCTAATTGTATTTAAAAAATGTAAAACTATGATGTAGGGTAGACGTGGGGTAGACTCAATAATTTGTTGTTTTATTTTACGTTGTGAATAAATGTTGGTAGTTATTAAAATTGTTATAAAAATATATAATTCTAATAAAAATAGATAAGTTATAATAAGTATTTATTAACACAAACATCCGATACGCTACTGAAGCAGGTAAGTCAAATTAACGTATCTAAATTCTTTGACATCTAATCTTTGACAAGTAATAAATAAAAGCTAAAATGCAAGAAAAATATATAATTTAGTTAATTTAAGTGAATTTCATAAATGATCTGTTTACTACACGTATGTATATTATATAGTCACTTACTAGCGAAAAGTTGTTCCATTATTTCACTCAATTTTTGCCGAGATCTAGCGCACGCTACACAACCAACTATTTTAGAGTCTTTTTCGATAAATCGCGATAGTGTCACTGTTAATTTAAGTTCTGCCACAATTTCCATCTAGATTTACTACCTTTATACAACTATCAGTAGTAGAATAAATAATAAATAACATAAAATAAGCTCCGTATAGACTGACAAATCCACAAAATTTCAAATCACATTCAAATGTGTCAAATGAATCGTCAAACAGAACTGTCAAGGATCCCCACCCTAGAGAGCTTTTATGGTGGCTTTTCCGCCCACCATGCATGAATACATGGATAGCATTATGCTCCTTCCTTAGTCTTCTTATTCAAAGATCTCAATATGACTCCTGTTTCTAGGTGGCGCCACCTACATGTGTTTTAACTGCTTTGAAGAGTAATAACTTTTCGTCCGTACCTGTATAAAACTACCGTGACTTTTTCTGTAAAAAATGTCTTTTGGTAAAAATCGGTACGAGCAACCGTTCTCAAAATATCTAGAATGGAAATAGTCAATACATGTCATTATTAACAATAAATAATCATGTTGTGTAGATAGTTATTTTAGTGAAATAATAAATTTGGGAAATTTTTATTTTTTTAATTTCATCATAAATTTTTCTGCGAAAAAACTATGATAAAACAGTTTCTGTTGAACTTTTGGCACAAAAACATTTTAAATATATGATTTCAGTCTAATAACTATTTACGTTAATATAACAATACACGTTTAATTTATGTCAATGATGACAGGTATCGATAATTTCGATTCCAAATATCTCGAGAACCATTACTCGTAGCGATTTTTACCAAGAGACCTTTTTTACGTAAAAAAAACCGACGTAAATGTACTACTTTTTACTAAGTAGTTTTATTCAAGTACGGACGAAAAGTTATTACTCTTCAAACCAGTTAAAATATATAGATGGCGCCCTCTACAAGTAGGAGTCATATTGACATCAAAATCAAATTTCTCATGCCAAAAAACTCCAGTTTTCATCGAAATATTTACGTTACTTCACAAATTATTTGAAAAAAATTGTAATAAAAAAGAAACTTCTACATCCTGTATCTCCGATACTAAGCATTTTAGAACATATATTTATACGAACTTTTTTACTTATTCAAGTTAAGTTTCCGGAATACAGTTTGGACCACTTTGTATTATTCTTTATTTATTACTTTAAATCGACCGTCTGGCGCATTATTTGAATGAATAAGCTAGCGAGTACGTTTCTGCATTGCCAATAATATTTTTCCACCGACATCTCTAAAACAATAATATTTTGATTTCAGGCCGATGAAATCTTTCACATGGCCCATTCGGAAATCCAGGACCGATCGTCACCTTGTTTCAAGCAGCTAACCAAGATGGTCCTAAAGGAGACTTCCTACGGTTTAAAAACGTATCCAGCTTCCGTACACGAGATTTCCGCTATGTTAGTCCATGCGCAAAGGGAGTCCCTGGACGAGACGGTTCCCGGCTCCCACCATCGCCTTCGCGACGAAGAGGATGACCGTCGTTTCGGCGACGTTTCGCGCCAGAATTTAAACGTCAACCGCGGGAGCAATCACCAATGCGGCAGTTTTTTCGCAAAGTGCAAATGCAAAAATGAACTCAAGTTGTCGGGCACGTCGCGGTCCTACTCCATTCCGGTGCCACGTGACACACACGTCGACAAACGTTTGTCCAGCCCAGAAATAGACTTGTCCGAGGTGACCAGCCGGCAACCCAACGTGTGTCTCAAGCCGAAAAGCCCCGGAACAGCTAGTCCTTCTAGCGTGATCAAAACGAACGTTTTCCTCAATCATCCCGAAATCACATTTCCTATTCCGGTCGAGGTCCCTGAGGAAGATTACCAGAAAAAAACTTTCCCAGCTCATCTCTATCCCGAAATTAAAAATAAACCGGACAATTTTCATAAAGGCACTGCCTTATCCTTAAATAACGCCAACGGAGTGCAGTCATCCAGAGAACAAGAGGCTGAAAAGTTCCTGAAGGAATTTGGGCTGTTCGGTCCGATGGGGAACGAAATCACTACAAACTTTCGCAGAAAATCTCGACCGTCGACCGACGAAACCTTTGCGAATCAAACGAAGAAAAGTTCCAAGTCACTGGAGGTGAAACCGAACATGAAGATGTCGAACGTTAATATTGAAGATTACGAACATTTGAAGAATGTGGTGGCCAGGTTGAAGAAAGACTTGTGCGACATGGAGATGAAATATAGCGCAGCGCAAGTGGAGTTGCACGAAACGAAGAACCTGTTGAGTTCCAAGGAGAATGAATTACTGAAGTTGCATAGAGAAGTTCATAAGCTCAAGGTAAGTTTTTGCTAAAAACTCAGGTTAATATTAATCTATTTAATGATGATGAGTCCTTGTTTAAGTTCATTAGTGACTTCGAAACTCGACGCCATTAATCGTGAACTTCGAAATTAGTGGAATCAATTGTTGTTCGTCTATTAATTGTAATTATAATATATATTATAATCTTAAAAGTCTATTACGCTGTACTTTCGGGTTACTCTCAGAGGTCGGGTAAGGCGGGTATATGGTGTGTGGGTGAACGAAATATATATATTATATTTCAGAAATCTGCTTAAGACTTAACCCGATCCTGTCGTGTCAAGCTACACCTAAAATTCCAAACACACGTGCTTTAATTAAAGGCTTGAGTAAGGTTTGCAGATCTTCAGCATTTGCCATAAAATAGCGAGTAATTTGTTACAAAACCATATAAATTATATATCACTGTAATCACAAAACTTCAATCTATTTCCATATTGTAACGGAATTTTAAATTATGTCTTTATTTTCGAGTTTTTTATGTCTTTATTTTCGAGTAGTTAGTTTCACCATCAAAATCTTAAAAATAAATAAGCTGTTTAAAAATGTGCTACAATACGGATATAGTATAATCTTTTATCTTTAATTTTCTTCTTCATTTGTGTAAAAATACCTAGCCAGTTTTACATGAAAGCCAGTTTTACACGTTAAATGCCGAACGCTTCTTTTGCTACTTTTTCGGACTAGTGAAACGGACACTTAACAATAAATGACACATTTTAATGTAACAATCATTTAGTACATCAAAATTAGCGGTAGTAGTTTTCAATCAATAGAAAAGGTTAGTAAAATCTTAACTTTTTTAACTAATTATACTTCAAAATGTGCGGATAATGTCATTTGGGCCTTTGATTATCATCCGTGAAGGGAAATTGTGGTTATGAATAAAAGGTTTAGTGTTTTAAAACTAAATTATTAGGCTTTCCATATGGAGACAACAACAACAGACTACCGCCAGCTGTTCCTAGAATATTCTATTAATTGTGAATGGTCGTAAACTAAAATGTATGAAGTATAATTGAAACCATGGAATTTAAGTGATTAAATAAGTTAAATAATGTTCTCTTGATAGTTAGCTGAATCAGCATTTATAGGGTTTATACTAAATAATAAAATAATACAACATAAAAATCAAAATCAGGATTTTAACACACCGAATGCACTTTTGCAAGCCAGTCTCTAAGTGTACTATTCTGCAATCTGTAGCATTCTTTACATAGCTTTTAATATGAAACAGTTAAATGCCTTCTTTATAAATTTTATAAACTATCAGTATTTTCGGTATAATTACATTTAAAAAGCTCTAATAGAAAATCTCAAATATAATTTTACCATTTAGTCAAACACTAAATTGAAAACATCTATCAATCTGAACACTAATGATACAAGTACATAATTATATCTTATGATAGTTGACTATCAAGAGTTGGTAATAGTTTTTAGAGTAAACATAGGCAAATTATATTTTGTTAATGTTATAAGGCTTTCATAAAAATGATTTTAATAAATTTGACATAAAACAGTTTTACAATTACATTTAATTAAATGTAATCATAAAAACTAAAAAAATAATAATAGTAAGGTGATAGAAAGAAAATTAGTCAATAGTACATTTATCGTGGTATTTCGAAAATTATAATGGAAATTTTTTGATAATCAATTTTATATTTTTGTTCAATGTTTGTTCAGATGTATAATCTATTAATATCGATATACCTATTAATATATCTTAAAAGTTCACATAATCACGATATATTGCGGATTTTATTAACAATTGAAGAATGAGTTTTTATTTTATATTTTGAGCTGAATAAATGCATAAAGCTACCATGTCTTACTTTTTATTTTTATCCGATTTATTATAAGTTAAAAATATACATATGTATCTGAAAAGAGTGAATGTGTTTCTTTATTTCTACGAATATTCCTGACCTTTGTCAGGATCTTAGAATGGACATTGTTGAAAGAGGAAAATTATTTGAAATATATTTTTAGAAACGCAAATTCGATTTATTCTTATTAATATTATTCGACTTTGTTCATAATAAAATACATATACAAGTATGTAATAGATTATTGTTTAAACTAAAACCATTAATTAATTATTAATATTTAGCCTTCTTAACTTATTTTTAAATTATTTATCGACAATGTTAGATAGTAATTTTGAGACACAATTACAGTCTTCCATACCTCCAATTAAATTACTACTCCGAATTACATTCAAACTGGAGGTAGCGATTGAAACTACATTTTTTAACTATAAAAAATATAAAATTTTATTATGAAACCATAACATAACAAATCATTTATTGACAACATATTAAATATTTGTATATTTTTGTTAATTATTTTTAAGTATAATTTATAAATAATGAAACAACAAAAAAAATATAGTTTAATCTTAATTCAATAATTATTAATTCGATTTATAATTAATACATTTTTATTTTATTAAAAGAATTATTAAAAATTATATTACTTTGCTGTCTATTCAATATTTATTTTTGTCCAAGATAGAAATTACTGTACAAATTTTCAAATAGCGTATAAATTTTATTGTTTTTTTGTTTTAATTTATCCTAAACAATGACGTAATACTTAAAATACGAGTATCACATAAATATATATATTTTTATTTAAAATTAAGATCAATTTACATATTGCTCTTGGAGTATTTTTTGAGTCAAAAACTATATTTTTTTTTGTTATAAACAGAATATCAATTTTCTTAATGCCTTTCTTTAAAACTGAAACTAGGTTAAAAATTGTGATACATAATTGTGACACCCTGTATATATAGCACTAAAATGTTTGTGTCCTCTTTTTCTTTAATTCACTTTAAGTTTACACTGGAGAAGGTAGAAGTATGGGAGGGGAGTTGTAGACTGTAGAATGAGTAAGTGGGGGGTTAATCACCGTGGCCTTAAAAATCTATTGTGTCCCCCTTTCTTGAGTTATAGCCAATCATACAGTTTGTAACTCATCATACATGGGAATCTTCTTGTTGGTTTATTTGGGAAATTAGGATATTGATGTAGGAACTGGGGTATTGTTGTTTTATTTGGGAAAGCTAGGCTAGAACCGGAGGAACTATGCTCCCATCCTATCAAGGACCTGCATAAGCTAGTGCAGGGCACAGGGATAGGAGAATGCTCCATCTTCTATCTAGCCACGCATCCCTTTGACCAGGTCCCGCCATCATAGGATTTAGGTTTTTGTTGAGGTTGTCTCCTCTTGGTCCGGGCGGTTAGGCTAAGACCCCCCCTACACCCTCTGCCCCTATACAGGACCACAGACAGTAGAGGGTGCCTGGTATGATGGACAGGGTAGTCCCATCCGGCATCGATATACGTCTTGGTGCTATTCCTTGGCCACGACACTACAGCCCGGGAGAAGACAATGAGATGCTCCTTAGACCCCGCTAAAGTGCCAGAGGAGATTCCTCCTAGCACCTGACTAGGAGCTTCCCTCCCAACGACAAGGTCTCGCACCTCCTAAAGAAAGATGGGAGGGGGGTTAATCACCGCAACTTTACAGATTTGTTGTGTTTCCCCTTTTCTTCAGTTATAACGAGTTATAATTCATCATACAGTTCCAGGGCTTTGAAAAAGCCAGAATCTGAGACGCTTTTACAGAGGTTAGTTCTCCATCTCCGATATCAGTCTACCAAACGTCATGACACGAATGTGTATCGTCTCTGCACATTCAATGATGAGGTGTTCTGGTTTTTCCCCATTTTCCCCAGAGAATTTACATTCGCCGTTGTTATTTAGCTTCAATCTACTGAGGTGTTCGTTGAGGAGACAGTGTCCTGTTAAAAAAACCCCCGTCACAATCCAAAGATTATTATTCTTACTGAAATCAAGGAAAATCTATTATTTTTCTCGGTCGTAAGTTCTGAGAAATTTTTTCGAGTGTCTTAGACCGTTGGAGGATTCCCATTCCAGGTTACGGATGGTGTCTTATAGGTTCGTGAGTTCCGCTTTGAGTTGGTTTCCCCTTGGGAAGCAGAACGGTTCTGGTCCAATTAGTGGAGTGTTCGCTCCTTTTCTAGATAGATTATTAGTCTTTTCGTTTTCTTCTATCCCTTATCTAACCTTACCTTATCAACCGATCAGAATTAATTATAATACTTTAGAGCTGGTTATCAGTAATGCAAACTTGATTATTAAATATTTCTGTTCATTTTACCTGATCTTAATTAAATATTTATGCAATTTTATAAATGATAAAAGCGGTAAATAATTGATTTAAATAAATGAGATCTGACCGATCTTATAGATATATTTTTTAAGTGGATTCAAAAGCTATTATGCTTCCCTTGTTTCTTATTACTTTTAAAAAGTGGTAAACTGGTTGTTGAATGTTTAAAAAACTCGTTCCTGTTGATATCCATAATACCGAAATATTAATTTTAGATTATCTAGACATATTAATTAATTCTGTTTTTAATTTTGATTTTAAATCTATTTTTAAAACCATGCATAATTTTTGTAAAGATTTATAAATTCAAGGGTAGAGGAGAAAAATACCGTATTTTTGATTAAAATAAAGTACACAAGCCAAATATATTTGAAGGTGTATAATCCAAATCTGATCTTATTTTAGAGTAAAACCTCTCTTGCATTCGAAAGCAATTGCATTCGAAAGTTAGATTAAATATTTGCTATGCCGGGCAAGAATCCCGTTATTGTCCCTGGTCTAATTTACCACAAGTCATCATACTTTGGGACCTTCTTTTCTAATTGCAAAACAACCAGCGAAAAGGTCCAAGATAAAACAACCTCAAAATTCATCGGAAGCGTTAGAACTCCTACCAGGAGACCAGAATTCCTAAAATAGAAAATTGTCATTAAACGCTGCAAAATACATGGACTTACTTTATTTCACCAAATTTACAATACAATAGAGATCGCTTGTCCTCTGTGTTTCCTTGAAGCGGCCAATAGATTATCAAACTGCGCAACAAATTG